ATCGCTTACCCGACCAAGCTTGTTAAAAGTTGGTGGCTGGTAGCTAACATAGAGATGCTGAAGAATGACTGGTCGGGCAGATGTGCTTCGGTGGTGTAGTAGTAGAGCACGCGTCCCCAAATAGGATGAAACGCGGGTTCGATTCCCGCCGGAGGCCGTGTTTTTGGCTACATCTCAAATCGCTTAGGAATTCGTAGATATGTAATCAGAACATAATAGCACTGCTAAGAGGCGATAAACAAGGAAACTCTTTTAAATCATGGGCTGACTTTTTTATATCTTTCCCTTCAACACGTGCGATTTACCTAGTTTTCGCGGCGCACATTGTGCACTGAACAAATTGTCCGAAGGAAATTTTTGTAAAGTATCTGGTGTAGTGGATAGCTTTTCACGGACCACATCTGGTCTAACATCTGTGTTAAATAACTTACCGAGTAAATGCAATAGTTATAGTTAGGAAAGACTCCTTTGCGGCAAAAGAAAGCCACAACGATTACGCATTGAGAGCAAATCGTACGCTCCACGTTTCGAGCGGAGTGCGCATTGATATCACTGCACATGTCAAAGAAGTCATTGAAGCTCTTCAGAAGAATGAAGTCAGTCACACTACTGAAGAACTACCTCTCCATCAGTTAATTTTGCGAGCTTGTTATATTGAAATCCCGTCGATTTCCACTTATATGATGTATGTTCAGTATGAACTTCCGTAGTTTATGTCAATTTACTTCACTTAATTCATATGCATATTTTCTATGATTGCGAATAAATCGACATTAGCCCTTTTCAGCGATAAATTGAAAAAAAAGATACCCAGTTGGAACATTGAGATTCGAGACCAAGACGATTGAACTCTCTAGATGACGTCTGAAATGATTATTCTTCAGCACATGAGGTACCAACAAATCACGTCGTGACTGGTTGGCGCATTCAAATGAGAATTGATTTAATGACGAATATTCTATTTTAAAATGACGAGCTAATTTTTGAGATCCTCATTAACCGCTTCGGTTGCGGAATAGGAAAAATGTTTGGAGGGGAGTTAATGAGTTTCCAATTGTGGCTCTTAAGGCCATAATTACCTTACTTGTGGGCATGATAATGTCCACACACCGCTAGTGTGTAAACAATGAGAGCTGTGCATTAATCTGATTAGTCACTTCACATTGAAATTCACTATGTTATAAGGGGAATTTCAAACCAGACATTGTAAGCCTTCTTTTCCCAATGCCAATATTTTTCTGTTGGGATGCTTTTTTCAATCTTAGTAAATCGAAGGTTTTGCCTAACCGATATCACTGTTGTTCCTAAATTCTACGCGGGATAAGACCATCGCCTCCTTCGCGCAACGTTCTGTTTTTCGAGAAAAGAAGAAAAAGCCGCTAGATTTGAACAACGAAGTACTAGAACTACCATAAACTGGGATATATCAAAATTCTTAGTCGGCTCCTAGGAAGATACTGTTGTTGACAACATCGAGGAAGATTACGACCGGCTCGCTGAATATCTTCACCTTAGCGCTGTGAAAGCTGAGAGTTCTAAAGTCACGAAGAGACGTTTGTCTCCGCAGACACCCGAGCTGATACGTCAACGTGGAATCGCGCGAGCTACAGGCAACCGAAACCTTACGTTCGATCTTTCAAAACGCTGCAGAAAAGCTATATGAGAAGACCTCGAAGAGAGACGAGCAGCAGTTATGGCAGAAGCTACAGAAGCTGGGAAGAGCACTCGCAAAGCCCAGCGAGACTTCGCCATCAAATATTGTATTTTATAATCTGAATTATAAGACCAAATTGATTGCACTCCGATGCCTTGACGGGACATTTACAGCTTCCAGAAGGGCAATGGAGAAAACCATCCATCAGTACCGCCTGAATCTCTTCGCTAGTCATGTCCTCATACCGTCTAAATTGAAAGAAGATGAAAATGTCGTTCCACCGGTCCTCCTTTCCGAAATCCGACATACTATATCGTTGGTGAAGAACAGAAAAACACCCGGTCCAGACAGGTCTAGACCAGAACACCTGAAGAACCTACCGCCAGTTCTCATCAACACCCTGGCTCGGCTCTTCACTCACTACTTGTCAGAATGCAAGGTTATCATTCAATGGAAAACCATCAAGAGCGTGTTGTTGTTCAAAAAGGGAGACCTTCACGACATAGGCAATTATCGCCCAATCTGCTTGCTGTCCGTTGTCTATAAACTCTTTACTCAAATCATCCTAAACAGGATTTACAGAACACTGGACGAAGGACAGCCATGCGAACAAGCAGGGTTCCGAAAAGGATTTAATTGCATAGACCACGTCCACACGATCACTAGATTCATTGAAGTTTCACGAGAGTACAAACAACCACTTTGTATCACTTTCATCAATCTCAGCAAAGCCTTTGATTCAGTGGATACAAAAGCGGTTGTAGAGGTTCTGCATAACCAGGGCGTCCCTACTCGGTACATAATGATCGTTCGTGAGCTTTATAAAGATTTGACCAAAATATCCCCATTCTATAACAACATCACCATTGACGTGAGAAGAGGGGTTCGACAAGGAGATGCAAATTCGCCAAAATTATTGACTGCTGCCCTCTAAAACGTCATGCGATTATTAGAATAGGACAATATGGGAGTGAAAACTGATGGTCGACAATTGAACCATCTTCGCTTTGCTGATGATGTCGTCCTTATAAGACCAAGCATCAGCCAAGCGGAACGAATGTTGACCAATTTTGATAGCGCCTCTGGGAAGATTGGTGTCCAACTAAATCTGACGAAAACGATGTTCATGAGGAACGGATAGGTTTCGAATGCCCCATTCACGCTCAACGGAACGAAAATCTCGGATTGCTCCATTTGCGTCTATCTAGGTCGGTAAATCAACATGATGATCGACCTAGCTCCAGAGTCGAGCAGGAGGAAACGATCGGTAAGGGAAACGTTTGAGGGCATCGAAGATGTAGTGAAGGGGACAAAGAACATCCGACTCCGTGCTCACCTTTTCGACTCGACGATTATCCTTGACCTAAGGTATGCAGCAGAAACCTGGTCGCTACATAAGCAGGATGAAAGATCACTTGGCGTTATTGAACGCGCAGTCGAGAGGCCGATGGTAGGAATATCCCGTATCCCGCAAATGAGAAAAAGGATCCGAAGTTCCGACCTACGTCAACGATCGAAAATCAGGGACGCCGTTCTACACGCCAGGATATCAAAAATAAGGTGAGCCCGGACGCGTGATGCGCTTCAACGACAACCGATGGACGAGATCCGTTACTGACTGGATTCCTCGAGACGTCAAGCGCTCTACAGGAAGACCACCGACCCGTTGGTCCGATTTATTCACGAAAGGTACAAAAGAAAGATATGTGCTCAGCGAAGCTTTAGAGCGAGAAGGGCCCACTGGGCTACTTTTGCACGCGATAGGGAAAATTGGAAGTGTTGCTGGTACTCGCTCGAGTCACTGGACGATCAACGGTACGACAGCTGATGCAGGTGATAATGCTTTTTTCTAGACTTTATGTGTATTTTTCCATTTGTTTGTCATTCTTCTGTTGGTAGCGTTTCTGTCTAAAACCACTGCTTCATTAACCCTTTTGAAAGATGTCGATATCGTCGATATAATGGTTTTTTGAAGAAAATTACCCTTTGTTTCGAGACTTCATTAATCGATGAAGTGCTACGTGACTAAAAAATAAGGAGGTAGTGTTGTGGTTTCGAACCCCTAGAATCTCTGTCCAGGACTTGTTTTTAAATGGTTAGGCTTCATCCACGACCTTAATAATCGTGATGAGGTAGTTTTCGTTTGCTAAGCACACGTAAATAACAAAATGAGCAGTCTATGTTGTCCTTATCTTATCTATCGACAATTTTCATTCTTTTAAAATTCTACGTAACTTGTTTCCGCATCTACTTCTTATCCCAGCACTTCTTACAATCGACTCGTTACCTCACATTTATCATCCGCTGACATCCTGGAATTTTTGCATGTAGGTTCAGCTGCTGTTCATAGATCTTCGCCTTCTTTATGATAGTCGATAGTACATGCTGGTTGAGTCGAATCTACCTGAAGTCCTAGGACACCGTGCCAAAACGTTTTCACGGGATGTCAACATGTTATAACCACTCGTAGTTCTGACCAACGCCGGAGTGGTGAGGGCTTGTATGTACGGCGTCAGTGCTACAGCGTTACCCACTCTTGATGCATTTTGAAACAACCTAAAATTCAGAGAGAATACTAAAGTCGGCCTGTCTTCGTTGCTGTGTTTTCTTCTTTCAAAAAGTCAAAGTTCACTTTCAAGATAAAAGACAATTTTGTTTTCTCTACCAAAGCGTGTGATTCAAGAGAACAGGAATGCTACTGACAGTAGTTCTGAGAGCTGAAAAGGTTTGAATCCGTTATATCCCACGATTCCCCTTACTTTTTTACCTTTGTGGTTGGCAACAAATTTATAGAACCTGTCGTTTTGATTGCGAGCCACTTATTGAGGTGGTCATAGAACACGCCTAATTAAGCTTCGTCAGGTGCAGATGGTGGGTAGATAGCAATTGAAGAATGGGGAATAAGGTTATCCACCTGAGGTGACAATTTCTTGGAAGATTTGCGTTGTGTAAGACGAATGGGTTCATCAAAAAAACTATCCTAACGTTTGATGACAGCAGCTCCTCTCTATAGATCGCGAAAAGCTTCCATTGATTTGACGCATGTCGGATTTTCTCCCAGTCACCCACAGCGCACTCATGTGGAATTTGATGTGACGTGCGCGTACAAGATAGGCGTAAAGATTGGCATGTCTGGAAGCTTTGTAGTGTTTTGGTACAAAGCAAAAAGCAAAATCTTGGTGTCGATAATCAATGAGAATTTTTCTTACCTGACCGCCTTCAGCGGTGACGTGATGTTATAGTTTACCTAATGGTGAAGAGTGACGTGCGAAAACTTTCTGCGTCAGGTAGGAGGATCCAAACCCACATTTCACTCTATCCGAGGTAGCGTGCTGAACGTGCCGAGGCGTAGTGCAACAGGTCAGCACGCGCCCCTGGATAGGGTGAAATGTGGGTTCGAATCCCACCTGATGCAAAATCACGGTTTGTTTCAAATGTTTGGCTTGGTTTTAATGACAATCACACAGTTGGAGGTTTGGCCACCGTCATCAAGTGTCACAAATCAACTCATTACATTACTTCTTGTCGTGAGAGCCTTTGGTTGAGGTACTGATATTTCTGTTTTGATAGTTTAGATGTCCATTTTTGTAATACCTCAAAATTGTGAGCGCATGGGGCGCAGTAGTTAAAGGTGCTCTGCGTCCCACACAACGTCAACGGCTCGATCTCGCGCTCATGACTCACCAAGCCATCGAACCCCTGGGGTCGGTGAACTGGGGATCTCAGACTTGCTTGGAAGGATAAGCAGCACCGACTTGATACTTTGGTAGGTCACTGCGAGTCACGTGAAGGCCAGACACGCATTCACTCAACCTAAACGAAGTTTAAAAATTGAAAACGGATGTAGGCGTTCGTTCAGGGATTTTCTAACGCAGAGAGCTTCAATCTTTGTCTGCAAAATTGTTACGCTCTGCTGACATGTTGTTACATATAAATCTACCAGTGTTTAAACTTGGAATATTTGTCGGCTTGTGAATAAGCTACTACCTGAAAGTAAAGAAATTGGAGTATTTGCTGAGGCTTAGCAAAATTTTCTGATCAGTATACATACTCATTTACTGTTTATGCGCAGAGACTCGCTCAAGCTTCCTTCCTTTTTACATTTGTGGAATACGCAAATTTTTCTTGTTGTTGCTAGGAGTGTGATTGTCATCTTAAATAGGAATTCTGGCACATTATTATCGTAACTGCATGTTCGCCATCTTTATCGGAATTAGCATTCAACAAGGCGATACAATCTCACAAATACTACACCATCGGATTGCAGCAGACAAAAAGATTTCTAGACTGCAGTATACACATGTGTGATGTCTAGAAATTCTAGCAAGATCTTTCTATTACTCTTTGATGCAATACTAATGAAACAAAGCTAATCCGACACGAATCCAAAAAAGATTCAGAAGAAAGAGAAGGCAGTTCATTGAATGAATCAGCAGAAACTACACTTCATTGATAACAGAGTAGTGAAAAGCTGGCTGGGATTTTCTAAGAAAGTATCCATGTTCTACACTATTGCCTCGGGATCACCCTGAATATGCTTAACAATAACAAAGCGAAACAATACGGACGATTGTCAGAAGCACAGGGTGCATTTCAAAAAAGACAGTGACAAAATAACGGGACCAGATCATTGTGCTCACTTATTTCGCGGTCCAAAGAATGATTATTGGGCCAATCGAAATTTGAAGTATAAAATGTTCGTCGTCGCCTACTCTTAGTATGGGACGCTGAACGCCTCAAGAGGATTGGCTATAGACGAAAGGGTACCGCCCGACTGATGAGACTGTCGAGGTCGAAGCACGTGTATCGGGCTTTATAAGTCAGCCCTGTTTAACAGATTACATGCGTGGCCCAAAAAATGATTATCTGGCATATTTCACGGTTCCTCAACTGCTGGACTATGTAAATTTTTGGATGGACATCTCATTCAAGTAGTAGAATCTGTGAACTATATAATCGTGAGAGCGATATTTTCTTAGGAACAACAGACTAACCAGACTTGTAGCCCCACTTCACCACACAAACCTTTTCTTCATCTGTGTCTTGTCCAATATGGTTACAAAGTTACCGCTTTTTGGACAAACGACGAGTTTGATTTTGTCTGATAAATTCTGCCTATCTTTTGTTTTCTGAAGGTTTAAGAATCTCTTATGAGGAGTCTAGATCCGAAGTCAGTCATAATGATTTATGCCGCTTCCACAAAAAATGCGGATGAATGCTCCTGAGTAAAAAAGGATCAAATGAATGTCCAACCCTGAAATGTGTACGATTTTTTCAGTTTTTGATTAACATAATTTGTTTACACCACAATAAATTGTCTTTCTTATTTCCTTGTATCATTTTTTGTTCGATTTGAGTTCTTAAAAGGAAGAACGAAAACAACGAACTTGACTAAATATTTAAAGAAATTGAAATCAAATGGATACGAAAACTTATTGTTGCTCCTAGCTGAGGAACGGCTCAAAATTCAATGTTATGATGCTTGTTTTGAAATTTATCTTAGAGATGAATACAGTAACGATGAAAATGTCAACGATAACTTGCTGTCATTAACGATGACAATTACGAGAACTTCATTGAAGCAGATCCGAACAGAACGGCTTCAAGTTTTCGGAAGAATAGACTTTAGGTGTGAGGTGCATTGTAACTGGTTGTGAAACTTGTTCAGTACTTGCTCAGCGGTAGAAGAACGGCTCATTCTCTAACAACACGTGCTCTCATATTCTAAAATTAGTGGTCAGGTGGTTTCGAAGTTGAAGGTGTTGTAATACAAATCGGCATGATTTGCTTGACCCCACTAAAACTTTAACAAACAGATTCCACTCTTCACACACATGGACAATTTCTGTACAAAATGTGCCTGAATTAGAGGAAATTTCAGAAAACCTCTGACGGCCTTATCGATCAAGCTGCTATATAGATGTAATGTTTAAGTGCATCACAAGATAGTAATGTATATGGATCTCAATTCTGTCTGATACTCTTAGAATGAGTGATGAAGCTGAATTTCAATGACAGTTACAATGAATCGAACTTCCAAACAAACTTCAAACACATATTTCATACTGATTAGACCACTTGCACAAAAACTCAGATCCAGCAAATGAGTGTCCAACATGTACTGTGTCAGACCTATTTATACGTCCCATCTACATACATTCGTACATAGAAGTGTGATTGCATATACATGAGTTGCTGATTATATTCTGCACTCAATTCGTTCCAAAAAGTTTTTTTTTTGTAAACGAAGTGTTTGTGTTGTCTGTTGTTTTTGAAAAGATTAGTGTGAAAGAAATGTTGTGGAGTTCCAATCCTCTGTACAGTAAACCCAAACGCATATTCCGGAAGAACACAGGAAGGTATACGGATGAGCTGTAGTTTACAACTGCCTCCGTGAATCCTTCAGCGCTCGAACTCGGGCATACAAGTAATCTTTGTAGAATTATTGACCACTGCCCAAGAAGGACATTTTTCTAAACGTCGTGTCAGCCATGGCATGCATATTATGACCGTAATTTTTTACAGTGATGCACGTTCGCACATTTTATACGGATTACAGCAATTCTAGCATTGGATTCGTTTTGCTCGCATCCATATTCCACTAAAGTCTTCGAACATTTCGTGTGTTGTTTGGCTGCTGCTTGATAATTTCTTCTTTATAAAAGCCATAGAATATTGGATGAGACAAGTCTGTTCACGATCCTAGGAATAACTGAGCTAAAATGTCCCCATGTCAACTTACGGGAGAGCTTCAGAGTGGGGGGTCACACTATGCTTTCTAATAGCCTGCATTACTATCTACTGCGCTATCCTTCCACAATCAAAATTTCTTCAGTTCACTATGAATAGCCATACAAAATTGTGTTTTGGATTTTCTTTTCGCAATGGCTTCATCTTTGTTTTGCACTGCCACAATATGAGAAGATTTACGAATGATAACATTGATAGGCAAAGCTGGGGAGGATCTCATATCGATATCGACAAACAACAAACAATGATCAGCTCCTCATTTGCTGATATTTACCAGTTCGGATATTGTTAATGCTTTATCACTTATATCTCTAGTGAGTGTTTCAATCACGTCCGACGGTAAGATCATTTTCAAATGTCGGTGACGATAGAAGGTATCGAGGAGAGAAGAGAGGAATCGGTCGAGTTGATGAGGACGAAAACATCATTGAGGTCGGTTGGTTACGAGTATTTGTAGACGGTGGAGTTATTTTGAGCAGTTATGTCAAGTCAAATTTGTCGTTCCGAAAAGTGGCTACCAAGGTAAACGACAAGGTCATTGTAATAAGGTCGACGGTTAAAAAAGTGATGTAAACGAAGTAATCTCTGTTACCATCGAATCAATGAAAATTGATGATCGACAAAACACTTTGATACTATAAGAACAGTGAGAAGCTATCCATCCGATGTAGGAAAAAAATTTAAAGATAGAAATATATAAGGAATAGCATAGGAGTATAAAGAGTAAGGACAGGAATGTTAAAAATGAGGATTTATATTAAAATTAATATACAAATAATTCTTGCTAGTGCAACTATGTGGAACACTTCCATCCAAAGCGATTTATAAATTTACTGAGGAGACTATTACAGAAAGCACCCCCACATTCCTGAGCGGGGGGAGATGTTGCGATTTCACTCAATATTCCTGTTGAGGGACCGATCTTCCTTAATAGCAAGTTGGTGATCAACCGAGCGGAATCAATTCTCTATGAGAATGGTCTGATATCACAAATTACAGTATCAGCCATTCTCACATTAATCAGACCAGTCATATTATCACTGCTTCAAAAAAAAAAGCAAACAGAAAAACCGGGTGAATTCTAATTAGAAAAACTTAGCACGTAAATGTCTGTGTAAAATCTTAGTGTCCGGTTTTGGCTGCCATTACCTTGAATCTTGTACAATTTCAACATTATAAAAAACCACTGATACCTTCGAAAAAAGATGAGCCGAAGTCCAGCAACCACTTCTGAGTTTCAGTGACGGATTTCAGGTGGACAGGAATGTTATAAGCCTGGATTTGACCCGTAAACGCTTGAGGAAGATCGAAGGGTTTGAATTCCTCAGAAAAGTTCGTGAATTTATTTTCTCACTGCTTTAGCCCATAATAGTTATGGCTGAAGCCGCGAGTTTCCTCATCCATTTCCAGATACAACATCTATGCCTACGTTGGAATCTCATCAAAACCATTGAGGGCTTGGATACTCTCACTACTTTGGTCGAATTGGATCTCTACGATAATCAGGTCTTTTTCCTTACAACTGAAGTATCTAGTGTTGAATTTTACTGATATTTAGATCGAAAAGATCGAGAACGTTTCGTCGTTGGTAAATCTTGAGACGCTGGACCTTTCCTTCAATCGACTGACAAAGATAGAAAATCTGGAGAATCTTAAGAAACTCAA